AGAGAGTCGGGGAGCTGGACTCGGCCGGGAGGGGACTGCGGGGCACGGTGCGCTGGTGTCCCGGCGCCCGCCGCGCCTTCTGGGCGATGGGTTTGTGCTCGGCCTTGGGCACTCAGGGAACGGAGTAGGAAGGGACGAGCACTGAAAGGGCTGCGTGGAGAGCCCCCGGCGAGCCGTGCATGCCAAAGGAGCGGCGGGGAAATTGAGATGCAAGGGGCATTTTTGGTCAAGCGCCAGGCCAGCACAGTCAGAGGCCGGCTTTTCGGCCTCAGCTCTAGGGTGCGCTGAGGTAGCTGTCGGATGAGGGGGCGGGCGGGCTGCTTGCTCCGGATTCGGGGGCGCAGAGCCTCCCTTCTTCCCTCCCACACAAGCACCCCTTCATGGTAGGGGCTCAAAGCAGGTGCAGCCTTCCACGCGAGCTCAGATCTTGTCTGGGAAGAGGGGGGCGCCCCGGCTTTTTCTCTTGATGGGGATTTTTAAAAATAATAATAAAACATGAAATAAAACGTAAAAGATGCCAAGTGTGAGCGGTTTGCTGAGAAAAGCTGGGCGTTCGCTGTAGGAGAGGAAAAGAAAGGGTTAGGGGAGCTCGAGCAGGCAGACACTACAGCATTCACGCGAAGAAGAAAGCAGGACTCTCCTCCCAGGCTTGGAAGAGGGCAGGCGAGGAAGCAAAATACATTGAATTCAGCCGCATCTAGGATCTGAAAGGATTCTCCCCCGCCCCCCTGTGGATTCCGATGCAGGTCATGCAACATGCAGGCAAGATGGGGGAAGAGGTCTCTGGGAGCACCCAGTCTACCCTGGAGGCAACCACGGACGGGGCTGATGTCTCCGAGGGGCACTGTCGCTGGAAGTACACTTGAAAAAAAGAACGAAAAGAACATGCCTATAAAAGGGAGTTTTCCTGACTTCCCGTCACATTCCGCCTTCCCTTGGCCTCAGTGAGACTTTTATCCCCTGTCGCCATTATGGCTGTGTCCCCAGAATGGCATTTTGCCCTCCTGCCAGCAGGAGGGGACACAGTGGAGACAGCCTTGGACTCTCCAACTAGTTCCTACTGGCCTCAGGCCAGTCCCTGGTGTCCTTGTCCCCTGGGAATCTCCCTGCCACTTCAAGTGCTGTTCTGTGATTGGCTTCTGAATATCTGTTCCAAGGCAGGGAAGCTGAGGTGTAATCCAGCTCTCCAGCTTGGCTTCTCTTGGGAGGTGGCAGGTGGCAGCTGAGGAACATGGAATCTTTCTCAGACCACTCCAGGAGGGACTCAATAAGCAAAGAATGGGAAGTGAGTTTAGCACAGTGCCAGTTTTCCAGCCTGGAGCAAAAATGGTTGTTTAAAAGATGCTCAGCCCATTTTTTTTTTAAAAAAAGAGATGATTTTTAATATCTCTGGCAGAAAAGAGTGGGCATCCATAAGCCTGGATTAATTTTTTAAAAAAAGAAAAGACTAATAACGCCTTCAGGGTGATAAAAACGTAGGCTGTGAAGCAAGGGGCCCTGAAGGAACAAGAAGTCTTTCATCCTGGACAGTGAAATGGGATTAAGGTGGGATGCTAAGGTTTGCAAATGCTCAGGGCCTATGCAGGAAGTGCCACGTTAAAGGGAAAAAGTCCTTTTTAAAGCCCATAATGGGTTGCACATGGGAAAAACAGAGTTCTGCTTCTGACCATAGGTAGATCATGAAGCTTTCTGGCCTCAGCTTTCACATCTGTAAAATGACCACAGCATTCATCCCCCCCCCATAAGTTTGTCACCTATGCAGCCCCTTAAGTCCCACCCAAGACCTCTGAAAACAGCATATCCACGGTAACAAGCTTCCCAGGTGACTCATAATATGCAGTTAAGTCCCATCCAACTTGAAGGTTCTCTGACACTGTGTGGACTGGGCTGAAGGGACCATTGGGAAGGCAGAGGGGCTGAAGATTGGGTTCTCAAGCTATTAGTCCAGGTGAGATAAATTAGGTATTTCAGATGCAGGGACCTTGTCCAACACAGATCTTTAACATTTCTCAGAGAGTCCAAGAATGTGGGAAGAATGACCTGATCACACTGCCTGGGGGGAAGTGGTCGTGCTCTTGGTGGTAGGCCAGATGCATATGAAGAAGAGGTCATGGACTGCAGTGTACACACCCTTCTCTCAGTCAACAGGAGCCCAGAGCATTTGGGTGTCTTATGTTCTTCCTGTCCTGGTTGACAAGGAAGAATACATCACATCATCCCCATTCCCAGTGCAGCCCTCACCAGATCACAGAGAGATCATGACCCACTCAGTGTTCCGCAAATCAGGGAGACAGTTCCCCCTACCCTTTGCCACCAGCTGGTGTCTTACAAATGAGGAAAGTCACCAGGGTACTCCCTGCTGATCAGGAGGAAGCAAGAAAGAGCAAGGATTTTGTTGTTGTTTGTTGTTGTTGTTGTTGTTATTTTTAACAAAAAGTAAAGCTTAGAACCCTTTCCAGCTAAGCAGAAGCCTTCTGGAACCAAGGATTTGGAGAAGATGGAAATGTTACCAAGACTCCAGTGTGGTCTGCATCAGAGAGGCCAGGCTGGAGCCTGCCCAGCAGAGTACAGTGGTCCAACTTTTCTGACACCAAGAGAAATCGATCCCATGACTCTGTAAGCAATGGAGATTGAGGACTTGTTTAGGTGGGATTCCCAGCAGCCATAATTCCCTGACACTTGGGAAAGGAGAAAGGGAGGTACAACTGGCTAACCAGGGATCACCACTGCCCAGGACCTGTGCCCCAGCAGACCCCTGCTGATCTGCTGGTCACCTCCCTGCCAGTCTAACTTAGCCACAGCCCCTTTTCCAAAGGACTCACAGCTCCAGGTCAGTGACCACATTGAGGAGTGAGGGGCTGGACCCTAAGCATTATGGATTCACCCATCACGCCCTCAACAGTATCTGCCTCATTCCAGGAGCGCAGGACTATCTAGGGGAGCAGAAATAGGAGCTGCTGCTTATATCTGAGCGGGAAAACGAGCTGGTGCTGGGTGGTGATGGAGGAGCACCAGGGAAGCCTGGGCTCAGAAGAACTTGGTGCTCCAGAGAGCTGGCAGGCCTGGGCTTGAACGAGAGGAAGAGGACTGTTTCCTGGGCGGCCTGTATTCAAGACGGGAAAGAGGCCTGGTTGGAGGCCAAATGTAATGCTATTCAGAAAGCTGTAGGCTAAGCAGAGAATTCTGGCAACACGTAGAAGGTGAATGCAAAGGGCATCAAGGGTGGGGGTGAGGGTGAGCAGGGTCAAGCACCAAAGCAAACTCAGAGGACAGGAAAATCCAGTGACATAAGACCCGACTTCAGGACCCTGATTCAAGTCCCTAGCTCTTGGAAAACTCTGGGTTGGAACGGACTTCCCCAAGTCATCCAATGCAAACCCCACTTAATTCAGAAATCTCTTCAGCAGTATCCAAAGTGCTCTGTCTGTCCCTGCTTCAACACCTTCAGAGGCAGGAAACTCACTACTCCATTCTGTTCTCAGATGGCTTTACCACTCAGAGCTCTTCATTGTGAAATAACAAAACCTGCCTCCCTACCAATTCACCTGTGCTGCTAGTGCTGTGA